TTAATAGCCAAAATCTTAATCAAACATGATGCTGTCAACATTTCAAACTCCTATCAACTAGGTTTTGGGATCAAAGGCGGCTGTGAAATAGCGGCTCATACCTTAAAAATTTACTTAGAAAACCCACCACCTGATTCTGTAATATGTAAACTAGATTTCAAAAATGCCTTCAATAACCTACATCGTACCTCATTTTTAAAATTCTTCTATGAAACTTTTCCCTGTTATTCTAAATTTATTGAATCCTCATATGACTTTCAGACGCTTTGACAAATGGATCTTTTCAGATTTTATCCCAAGAGGGCATCCAACAAGGGGATCCATTAGGACCTCTTCTTTTTTGTTTGGAATCCATCATCTCATCTACTAAATCAAACAAAATTTCAACCTAGATCTTATATGTATTTAGACGATGGGACCATCTGTGGCCCTTCAGCTATTGTACTAAGCACCTTAAAAAACCTGGAAATCAATTCCCAAGCTATCGGCCTGGTACTCAAGATAAATAAAACAAAATTATGAATTTAAACTCATTCAATTGGTCACTTGCTCAGCTACCTTCTAAACTAGGGGGTTTAGATTTTTCCCACTCAATCTTTTATCCTTATAATCATTCGTATCATCTAGATTATCTAACAATTCTATGATTTCTGGCTTCATATGCCCTACCGATCGTTTATTAGACGACGCTATTGACATGGAAGGCAAACACACCCATTAACACCATATAATCATCAATCATCAAACACAAAAAATTTTTCACACCTTTAATCTCGAAATACCAAACAGATATATCAGTCAATCCACCTTTAGATTGCATTCAACTCCTTCAATTATCTGACAGACTTGATGGTCATGAATGGTTAGAATCACTCCCTAGTCGCAACCTTATTCTCTTATCAGATGAACAATTGAGAGTAACCATTGGTTTACGTCTAGGTTGCGATATAGTACAGCCTCATGCCTGCATCAAATGTAAATCACGCGTTGATTCAAAGGGTAGACATGGCTTAAATTGTATTTTTAGTCAAGGGCGACATCAACGCCACTCAGCTGTAAACCATATAATAAATAGAAGTCTAACAGCTGCACACATTCAAACAATCTTGAACCATCAAATTTATATCAAGTAGATGGTTTAAGACCTGATGGTATGACAACCATACCTTGGGCCCTCGGCAAATCACTCATATGGGACTACATGTGTGTCTCATCATTCCCTTCAAACATAAATTACAATTTAATAACACAGGCAGAAATTAAAAAGACAAACAAATACAAAAATTTTAAAAACTTCATATTCACTCCAGTAGTGACTTCGCGGGCATTTTTCGCCTTCAACATGTTTTTAAAAAATCTGGGTAATAAAATACGACTTTTCACAAATGAACCCAGAGAATTTCTTTTTATTCGACAAAAAATTCAAATAGAAATTTTTAGACACAATTATGGATCCTTTTTAGGGACTCAATTATAGAATTTTATTTTTAATTATATAATTATATAATTATAAATTTATAAATTATAATTTTTTTAGTTAGGTTTTATGTAAAAAAATTTTAATAAAATAAAGAATAAAGTAGGAAAAATAAAATTTGAATAATGTTTTACAGAAATGTTTTCTAGATCGAAAAAATGGAAATAGGAAATATGATAAGTGTATGAATGTGATATATTGTTCTGATACACAATTTTTAAATAATTTTATTTATTTTTAATTTTTATAGATAATAATGGCGATTTAAAATATTCAACTTTAGAATATGCCCAGCCCGGGTATTATAATAAAACATTTAGATCTGACCCTGATATTTTGAAAAATATGACCCGGCCCGTACAGGTCTGCTATCTACTAAACAGAAAAATTATAAATTAATTAAGCTTAATATTGAAAAAAATTTCAAAATTACAGTGTTGTGCAGATTTGATGGAAAACATAGCTATATTTTTTAATTTGTTTGCAAATAAAATTATTTAACTTACAAAAATTGTTCAAATCTGAATTATTCTTTATTGATACTTTTTTCCCATTTTGTGGCCTACTAAACTAATTAAACATTAGTATTACAGGCACTAATCAAGAAATAAATTCTGAAGTGCCTCCTTTCGGCGAACTTAACAAAGCTATTGATAAATTTACTAAATACATATTTTTTTAAAGCAATATTAAAATAACAAAAGGAAAATGACCAAATTTTTAAAATCTATAATTAGAATATATCATAAGTGGGACCATGCCCGAAAGCTAGACAAGTAGAGGTGAGACTAAAATCACCCTAATAGATTTTTTTGGCCATACGACTTCACATAATTGATTTGCTCTCTAATTTTATTTTTTAAAACTTCTAAAAATTAGTAATTCTGACCCTATATCACGTATGTAAATAGAATAAATTAACAATATGAGCCGAATCTTAATCATATATGTACTAAAATGTTTTCAGCAATAATATATTTTTGACTGAAAAGATTTATTATTTTTAGCTCTTTCAACCCTTCGATAATTATTAGTATTAATTAAACACATTTATACATTGTCGGTGATCGATGACCCTTTAAAACTTTAGGGGAAAATCATTATTTAAAAATTAACGAGTTAACCCTAACAATCGCGGCAAATTATTATTTAATTTTTTTTCCCCTCTATATTGTATACTTGATGAATCAAGTCATATTTTGACAAAAATTATCCAAATGGATTTTATTGTTAGAAACCTCGATTTAGCCGATATTCTAAAACATAAAATAATACAAAAAATTTATTAAGAGATTTCTATTTTGGAGAAATCTTGAGGATCATTAAATTTGGCTAAATTGAGGTTTTTTAAACAATACTAAAAAAGGGGGAACAAAGAGATTTATTTTATATTATTCTACTCATCCTACAATAATATTTGAATGATGGACTTGTCTTGGTGCCAGTAGAGATATACAAATATCAAATTTACTAAGCTCTATTTTCTCAACAATCATGTAATTAATAGGGTTAGGATTTCATGGGGTCATAAGTAAATATAATTTTTTTGAAAGAATTACATAAAATAGTATAATTAAATTATGATGATATATAATCGACAAAGAAAATATCGAGTTGGACATTTAGAATTGTCATTTATAGTAGTAAGATAGGACTATAAATATTTGACGTTGAAAACACTTTAATGTGTTTATTTTTATTTTCGATTGAAACACATTTTAGTATGTTTCACATATATAATATCTATTTTTTTTCAAGCCATTTTACTTGAGCACTCTTAAAAGGCTTCTCATAGTCTTTTTCAAAATTATTTTAATAATCTGCATTTTTTACAAGAGAAAGGAAGAGATTTGTCCTGGCTACACGCCATAATCATGTCATTTTAAATTATGAATATAACTTATTTTTCCTTTTCCCATTTCCCCCTTCCTTTCTTTTATAAAGAAAAATTATTTTACTATTATAACATGAAAATAAATGGTCGTCTTTACACTGGGATTAACACATCTGTAATTTCATAATCAAATTAATTATTTTAAATTTAGTAAAAAAAAATTCTTTTCTGTTCTGGAGTTATTTTCTGATATATTATTATATATTTTGACCACTATATCCATAACAAATAAATGATTTAAGAATAATAAAAACTTATATAGGCAGTGGTACTTCAGAAAATAAATTGAACGAATTAGCCCTTCTATACCTAAGAATTTGTCACCAAATACCGATAAAATCATTGAAATTTAGGTCAATCACAAAAGAATTCCATATTTATTTTTTAAATAAATACCTTGCTTGTTTATATTATATGGAATATTTCTTAAGAATATTTTTGTGTTTTTAATCTATATATTCAGCATTTTAATTTTCTAAATAGAATTGATACAGTCATCGGCCATTTTTTCTAATAAACTAATAAATTTAATATACATTATAATTAGTGTTGTTAAAGTTACTTTTGAAACATAACTAGTTACAGTTACTAGTTACATTGGTAAAAATATAACTAGTTATAGTTACTAGTCACATTTTTATAAATTTAACTATTATTAGTTAAGTTTCATTATAAGTTACTTTGTGGTTCTTATAAATTTTAAAATGGTCTATTAATTCTGAAAATGGGTTTCAAGATTTAGTATTAATGATTTTTTCACTCAAATATTTACAAATATGACATTTATATATACAGTTGTTGCAAATATTTATTTTAAACTTATTGCAAATATATATTTTTTTATGTTAATTCAAATAGAACTGTATAAGATTGGAGTTTTTTCTGTCAAGTTTGATAATCAGAATAATATTGGAAGGGTATTAGATAATTTTTTTTTATTTAATTATATATGCATGTATCCTATTGTATAATTTGGAAAACACTTTAGATCATAGAATTTACCCGGTTTGACTAAACTGCGAATGCTAAGGTAAACTGCGAATGCTAAGGTAAACTGCGAATGCTTAGGTAAAATTTTTTATATATTATCTTTTATATGATATAAATAACTTATAAAAAATTAAATTTTTAGATATATTCAATAATAAAGAAATATACATTAATAGTTAAATTATCTTTTATCTCATAATAAATCGTTTAAATCTTTTAATATAATTATATTAAAGATATTAATAATTAAATTTTAAATTCCAATAATATTAAATCCGCAAGTTGGCGTGTATAATTATAAAATACTATTATAAAAAAATATAATCATTTAAAAATGTTATATATCAGAATTTACCCCTAAAACATTAAAGATTCATTTTAATAAGCTGAATTATCATAATACGCATGGTGGAGGGCTATGTATAATATTTAAAACAAAATCATGCCGGTAAAGTATATTGTTAATATTACTATATAAAATATTATTTTGTGTCAAATGATATTCAATAATACCAAGTTACTATTTAAATAAAATAATTTAAATATTATTTATCTTGATTTATCTAAATATTATAGTAAATGATTAATTTATATTTAAATAGTTAGAATCATATTTATATAAATATTTCACATGATGCCATTCATTCATTTACCTTTTTTTACCTCAATAACAATAGATTTTTTTCTAGTCGTCATATATCTTAATATATTCAATCAGAAATGGATAATCACGTAAGAAAATAATCTAGATACAGATGTGAAAAAATTAATCTTAGATACAGATATTAGTATTTTTTTCAAAATATCAAAATAAAATTAGAATAGTTTATAAAATATAGTTTTTACTATTTATTTGTGAAGAACATTAGTAAGAATGAATATTTACAATAATTAATAAAATATTTAATGATGAGTTAATATATCAGGCATTTTAATATCAGTAATAGCCCATTTTTATAGATAGGGAAGGGAGACTATTTTAATGGGAGTTGAATATTAATTTGTAGAGTATTTAAAATATATTTATTATTTTATAAGATAATCAAAATTTTCAAATAATTTAGTATTAGACCTTTTCGGATAAATATAAAGGTTCAATTAAAAATAAAGCTTCTGGTTCAGTTTTGATCCCTGCATTTATATATAAAATGTAATCTTTACTAATTTCGTTTGGGTTATTTTATATCCATTTATCTTAATATAAGTTGTAAATTTTTCAGTTAATTTTGGTCGTCAATATATTTTAAATATGGCAGAAAAGAATAAGAAAATTAATACAATATTTGTATCTTGTATTTTAGATACAAATATTTGTGGTACTGCACAACTCTGATTACAATTGATATTATGATCAATGATTGAGCAGTATAAAACAAATAATTATAAAGTGTTAACAGTCTAATTTTGTTGACCTTTATCTTTAAATGATCAGAAATAATAAATATATTTAATTTTAATTATTAATCTTATTTCAAAAAGGCAATGATGGAGAAGATAGATGTGAAGCCATGCTCTTCATTGTTTAGATTACAGAATAATTTTTCAGTTAATTCAGCAGTAAATGAATTGAGCCTTATCAGTTTACATTACAATTTATCAACTAAATGTAATGAAAATTTTTTAGTTGGGGAGGAAGACCTTATTTCTCAAAGGTTGTTAAAATCATTTCAGGAACATCTTTTAGAAGATTATTCGCCTAGAAAAGTTATTGGGGATGGCAATTGTTTTTATCGTTGCTTGTCTCTAGCAATTTTTGGTCATGAGGAGGAACATCTCTACATGAGACTCTTGACAGCAATTGAAATAATAATTAATAGAAAGTATTATGATATAGATGATAAATTTTACAGTAGTAATAAAACAATAAGTGATGAAAGAATTTCCACTACTGATTACAATCATATTTTAAATGATGCATTGATGGTATGAGGCTGGGCACAAATGATGCATCTTTATGCATCAAGTGCAGCTTTGGGAAAAGCATTTCAATCTTATTGTCCACCTTCTAATCGTGGGATGTATAGCGCATATACCACACCAGTATATGGGCGGGCCGTAAGAAGAACAAGTTCAATTAACTTAGTTTTTATGTGGTCGAGTTTAAATTACCCAGATAAATTGGCAAATTTTAAACCAAATCATTTCTGTTACCTACAATCATTACCATCGAGTCCTCCACCAATTATTGGTCATTTGTCACCTAGAATTGATGTAGCACCATTTATATTTCCATTAATTGAAAATAATTCCCAACATATTTTTCCACCTCCAATCGAATATCCGCCTATTATTAGCTATTTACCAACTATTTTATCTGATGATGGTTTACTATTCGATTCTCCAATTTCTGTTGACAATGATTCTCCACCTATCTCACCTTCAATCAAATCCCTGTCTAGTATGAGTCATTTATCACATATTTCATCATCAGCAAATAATCCTCCACATATTTTTCAACCTCTAATCAATTCCCCATCTAGTATCGCTTTTTTATCACCCGTTTTGATGCCAGCTATCCTTAATGATTCACTATTCATATTTCCATCTTCAGTTAACAATAATTCTCCAACTATTACTAATTTATCATCAATTGTTAGTAGCAGCTTACCTTTTTTAGACACCGATATTATTATAAATATGTTATTGAATCCCATAAATATTCTAGAATCAATACCAACCGGTATCAAAAACAATGTTATATTTACAATAAGTAATAAAGAGAATATGGTTTTGAAAGAAAGGGGTAAAAAATTAGTGTATAGCGACGATTGTGGCGCGTGGACTGGTACATCCACAGGTACAACAAAATATTATTATAGTATAAATATCAATGATAATACAATTAGCAGTGGTCCTATGGTTATTAAGGATGGCTTATTTGGCAAGTCCACCACAAAACGATATAATCATATATTTATTGCAGCAAAACCACAACCAAATCCTCAGGATTTAGTAATTTTAAATCGTTATTATACAAAATTAAAAAATTGTGAAACGTATAAAAGAAGAATATGCCATTTAGATAAACATTTAAATAGCTCAGTTCATCTTATTCAATCTATATTTATAGTTGAATACATAGGAACATATCCAGGGTTGTTTCCACATGGAAACAACAGAAACTACTCAGGGGTTTATAGTCGTACCCCAGTTTGTATAATGCGACAAATTAAGGAAAAGGTAGTGCATCAGCCTCCAAAAGACGTGTACCAAGATTTAATAGCTAATGAAGAAAATTATTTTACTCCCAGAGATATCAAACAAATTCGTAATATACAATTTAACGAATTGCATAAAAATGATTCTTGTTATTTGAAAAATTTTTCTGACCAGATAAATGAATTACTAAAAAATATTCATAAATATCCAATATTAAAAAAAATAGATATAAGCCCAGACAGAGTATGTTCGCTAATATTATATACTAGTTTAATGTTAGATAATATTAAATATATTTGTTCTCAAGATTTTCCTAGTATTATAGGTGTTGATAAAACTTATAATTTAGGTCCCTTGTTTGTGACGACAACAGTTTTCAAGAATCAAGTGCTCATGTCTAAATATTCACAGGATCATCCTATATTCTTTGGTCCTATATTTTTGCATGGCAGCTCTGATTATGAAACTTTTAACATTTTCTTTTCGCACTTGGAAGGCGTCTTCAAAAAAAATAAAATAAATGTTGAAAATCTTATATTCGGCAGCGATGAGGAGCTAGGTTTAATAACTTCGTTAAGAAAGAATTTTAGTAATTCTACTCATATATTATGCACCTATCATATGAAAAAGAATCTAAATTTATTTTTACAGGATAAAGAGGGAATGGATTCAAGGACAAGGGAAGATATTGTAACTAAAATTTTTGGCAAAGAAGGACTTGTATTTTCATTAAGCGATAAAATCTTTGGAGAAAAGGTTGAAAAACTGCGAGATTATTGTAGAGATAAACAGTTTATTAAATTATTGAAACATATAGATGCCAGTTTAAAAAATAATTTATTTTTATATGTATATTTACCTTTAAAAAATAAGGTGATATCCTATCTTTATACTAACAATAACTGCGAATCTTTAAATAATGTGTTAAAAATAAAGTTTAACCGAGATTCTACAACACCTGTGCATATGATGGTCAATAAAATTTATGAATTAAGTTTAGCACAAGAAAAAGATTTTGAAAGAGCCCTTCTTGGTTTGGGAAATTATTATTTAACAAAAAAGTATGATGTGACAAAAATTCGTCATGAATGGGACCAGATAAGTGACGATCAACGTAAAAAAATAATATTAAATGTGCTTAAATCACATAGTACAAATAAACGGAAAAAAATTACCTCGACATGTGGTGGATTGACATTAATTCAACCTACAGGATCTAAAAAACCGTGTCAATCTAAAAGATCTAGATCAGATAGAACTAGAGGCTAGTTATTATAGTTCCTACATAAAAATTAACCAGTAGGCACTAATTTATTTCAGAATTAATTTATCCAATGGCCCTTTTTAGGGCCATAACACCCAAAGGCCCTTTTTAGAGCCATAAAACCCAAAGGCCCTTTTTAGGGCCATAATACCCAAAGGCCCTTTTTAGGGCCACTCAACCAAAAGTTCGCCACAAAATCCAAAGACCCTTTTCATGGTCATTTAAACAATCAAATTATATTACTTTAACGATTAACTTAGCAAAACAAAATGTAGAAAAAGAAATACATGGACGCTTAACTCACCAACAATTCTCATTAGATATTAGCCGACATTAAAACCCCAAGTTATTATATCTCAGAATAGCAAATCAAAGTCTTTCTAAATCATCTGAAAATTCGAACAAATACACCAATCCCCCCTCTCCATTCTTTACTTAAAACCAATATATCATTTTATAAATAAAATATAACGACATTTATAAAATTACCGGAATCCCTTTATCTAAATTATATATTTCCCCTAAAAATGGTAAATCTTTATACATTATATACATTTTTATGCTAGGTGTAAAATAATCTTTTATAAACATTATATTTTCGATAAAATTTTTCTGTGATATCTTATTTATTAGAATGATATTATTGTATGGTAATATTGTAATAATGGCAATAAAAACATAGTGGCTATTTATAAAAAAGATCAATATCAAGTATGCAAAAATTATTTAAAAAAATTAATTTATCTTACTTTAACCATTAAAATGTGATCATATGTAAATTTATAAAAACCTATATTTGTTCTTGCAATTTTTCGAATGATAGATAATATATGGAATTTAGTTTACTTTTTAATTAATAATACAATATTAAAATATAATAAAACAAAAAAATAATTTTAAATTTTTTTATAAAATAATAATACGCCATCTTGCGGATTTAATATTATTGAAATTTAAAATTTAATTATTAATATTTTAATATAATTTTATTAAAAGATTTAAACGATTTATTATGAGATAAAATATAATTCACCTATTAATGTATATTTCTTTATTATTGAATATATCTAAAAATTTAATTTTTTATAAGTTATTTATATCATAGGAAAATGGATCTCACTACAAATAAAAGATAATATATTAAAATTTTTACCTAAGCATTCGCAGTTTACCTTAGCATTCGCAGTTTACCTTAGCATTCGCAGTTTAGTCAAACCCGAATTTACCTATTTTTTTGGAAGGCAAAAAAATCCCGAATAAGAGGACCATGACAAAAATACCCTAGATAATTCCCCAATTTTCAAAAAAATTAAATTAGCCTATAGAATGAATGTTATTTGATTAATTTTTTGTTGAAGGAAATTATATTTGATATCTGCATTATAATTTTGTTTTTCTTTCATAGTCATTGTCTTTTCTTATTAGTAAGTAATGATGACTAATTTAGCATTTTATACAAAAATTATTTAATTCCAAAATAATCTAAATCTTTGTCTTTCCTTATACTATGTTTAGTTTTATGCTCTAATTTAGTAATATTTAAAAAAATGCATTTATAACTTATGAAATTCCAAAGTATAAAAATTTTAAATTTAATTTAAAATTAATTTATCACAAAGCTAGTTCCTTGGAACCAAGGTTTACCCCTCACTTGGGATTATACATGTGTAGATCGTTTTGCCAGATCTTTTACTGTTAACTCCATCACTTAGGCCGAAAATACAAAAAATAAATATAACCACCTTAATAATCTTTTGTTTGTTCGGGTAGTCTCAGACACCTGTGGATCATTTGGACCCCAAGCTAAAATTATTAAATAATAGTGCAAAGGTTACATCACAGGTGATCCAAAATAAGGCTTCTACCTACAACAAAGAATATCAATAAATTTGTCGATTCAATTGTATATCTATACATGGGTCATTAAGCCCCACCGACCAAACATAAATATTTTTTTTTATTTCTCTTCTTTTAATTACATCTCATCTATAATATATATTATATATATAACCTTGTCACTGTGTCACAATTTATTCTATATTTAAAAATTCACCATTTTTTAAAAGCGTCGTGGCCTAATCGCCAAGAGCATCGTTTACAAATATGAGGGTCATGGGTTCGAATAGATTTTTTTTTCTTAATCCAACTTGGTATACTTTTTTTTAAATTATATTAATTTCCTTATTTTTTTAATTTTTATTATTTATGTACTCAAATAATTAATTTTGCTAGATGAGGGTTTAGTATATTGTTATCATGGAAACAGATTTTGGATTTCTTATTAAGAATGAGTCTTTTAAAATTGGCTTCAAGAAATTGAAAACCGATTATGAGCATCACAGATTGTTCCATCATCAAGACACCAAATATTTATATCCGAATCAAATTTAGGCTTAAGATAATGAGATAATGAATACCAAGTATGCCCTCTGCTGGATCCATTCGTCAGAATCTAAGCCATGTGGGCCGAATAAAGGAGTTTTAATGTTACAGTATGTCTCTAGGAATTTTGAATAAAACAGGAAATTTGGGATAAAAGCAAATTATGAAATGTTCACGAAATTTGAAAGCATTTCTAAAGTCTACTTTGATAATAACCATGTTAGGAGGATTTTGGATATAATACAAATGGCATGTGAAGCTATTTTGCCTTCTCCCTTAACACCAAATCCTAATTGATACGTATATTTAATAAAGTTAAGACCCTGGGGTTTGACCCTGTGGTTTGACCCTGGGGTTTAACCCTGGGGTTTGACCCTGGGGTTTGACCCTTGGCAATTAATTTTGCTAATAATCTTCTAAATAGCCTATTACAATGGGGTGGATATCACCACAGTGTTTGTGAGATAATCAGGTTTGCCCCCATAATTGATTCGAATCTATGATGGCAGGTTTTTTTAAAAAAGAGTATTTGTAAGGTTTTAAAAGCATTTAAATGATTTTGAGATTAATGTAGATTTTATACGAAGTGAGAGGGCAAAAACTATAGCGTCTAGATGTGGAAAATTTCTTAAAAGAATTGATATTTTCCATAATATGTTTGGCCATTTTCTCTGAAAATTTATAGAAATCTTGGAAGAACGAATACGGATAATCTATTCTTCTCATTTGATTATTCTGATTCATCCATCGTCAAGGTGAAAATTCTGATTCCCCGTCATTCTTGACGGGCTATCAGCTACTATTTTTATAAAGTTATAGTATATTAATTATAATTTTAATATTCTTTAATAAATGATCAATTCACATATTAAAAATAAAATTAATTATTTGAATATATTATTTAGATTTATACATACATATTTTTAGAAGTAACTAGTTACTTTTGGAAGTTACATTTCAAAAAATATAACTAGTTACAATTTCTAAAATATAACTAGTTACAGTTATTTTTTAGCAAAAATGTAACTAGTTACACAGATACTAGTTACTCTAACAACACTAATTATAATGTATCCAAAAGTTCATATTTTGGTAAAAGAAAATTGCAGCACATTTTTAATTTAGTGCTTTATAATAGGTAGGTTTTTAGCCATTTCCCCCAATTCCAAAAACGAACGAATATTTAGCCTCTTGGGGTTACATACCTATTATATACATTTCATATTTTATAACCAGTCTGTGAACCCTCCTTCTAAAAAACGTCCGGGTTTGTGTTCATTAAAAAAATCTCTGAACCAGGTTTGGGTTGGTTCTGGACACTGGTCCAGAACCATTTATAACTATAAAATGAATACACTAAAGTAAAAAACCATTCCACGAAAAATGATTTTCACAAAAAATATTTTTAATATTGAAAATAAAAAAAAACAATTGTTTTAAATATTTAATATGATTTTTTTATTATATAAATATTCATGATATTTTTTGGATATATATTTTTTGCTGTTCAAAGTTTATAATTTAAAAAATAATGAATTTTAAATAAAAAAAAATAAAAATAAAATAAATAAAAATTTAAAAAATTCTTGAACTCTGAACTCTAAATTTAAAATAAAAAAGTTCTTGGTTCTGGTTCAGGTAAATATCAGGGTTCTCGATCAGGTCACATCCCTGTTTATAATATCATTTTGATGCATAAATTTATATTAGAATTAATATATTATAATTTTACAAATCATTTAGATATTAGTAATTTTCAGTTTTATAGTCACTAGTACTGATTCTTTTTATATAAAAATTTCCTCCCTTCCCCAACGCAAATTTTCTATCTACTTACTTCCCGTCTAGGTTGCTAGTATAGCATATAGCATTTACAATTTACATTAAGTGTGAAGTCAGCCAAATTTTTGAAGGACTAGATAGTTTAAAGAAATAAACATTATTGGCAAAATAAATAAAAATTGATACCATGCCAGAGCAGTAATTTTATAAGCACTGAATATATATCTGGTTCGCGCCAATATTTAATGCCAGATTAATACTTATTAATTCATCATTCAGTTTCTTCAAAACTAAACAGAAACCTATTATAAGCCAAATTAAAACTCTTTTGGAAGCACTTTTTCTGAAGCTTTATCCAAGTCGTAATTAACAGGAACCTCTATACTCTTTCCCCCAAGCAATTCACTATATTACCACTTAACTTTTCCTTTTACTCCCTATCAAAATTACAAGAAAATACAATTAAAAACAACCCCCCCCCCCTTATACCCTTCCTTTATTCGAATGACAATATCTCCAATTTCAATAATTATCTTAAGTAATACCCCCCCCCCCTTCCCGGGGTAGATGTCCCTAGTAATTTGTACACATTATAATTTAGTGCTTCAATCCGTTTAGCAGTGAATATAAAGAAAAAGTTTATTAACAAAATAACAAATTTCCAAAAATTGTCATCATGCCAAAATGATAATAATAAAAACAAGAGCAATTATAATTTAAAAAATATTTAATGTTATTTTTTAAATCTAATTACTTTAAATTGATACATAACTTTTTTGATCACATAATGTCATTTTTCAAACTTAACTTTTCTCCACGTCTAATTAATATTTTAAAAAAGGACACTATATGGCTAAGAAAGGTATGCAGAATCTATTATATATTCAATCATTATATATGTCAGCATTGAATTATATGCAGTTTTAATCTAAATTAAGGAATATAAATAAAATTAACTTTTTATAGAGTTTTGAAATGAAAAACTCAGATCTTAAAGTTGGGCTATTTTTAAAGGCAGTCCCTATAGCTACCTTAGTTCAGCATTACATAAGAGCGGCGAATAATAATTTTAAAAAAAACATAGTTAAATCAGTGTATTTAACATAGATTAGATTGACATGGTATATAACCTACTCTAAGGCTAAAGATCATTTATGTTTTTTAACAAATCTAAATTCTTGCCTAAGAGCCATCAAATATTTTAAAGACAATACTTCTTTTCATACCTTTTGCTATAGCTTTTATACTTTTGTAATTTAATAGTGGGGAACATAAAAAAAATAGTTAAATAATGTCTTTGGAAAATGTGACCCAATAGCAGGGTTTCCCTTTCAAATAAGGTAAAGTAAAAAAGAAAAGGTTTAAAGGAAAGGTCCTATCAAAAACGGAAAAATTTTTCCTCAACAGGCCTTCCCTCACTCGATGATTCTCCCCATATATTATAAAAGTAAAAGAATGTGTTATTCAAATATTGGAAAACAATCTCTGGAAGATATTACGATCTATTTTTTAAACTAATTTATGTATTATATTACTTACATAACTACAATATAAATTATTTAAATAAAGTAAACAAAAATCTTTGCCCACTTGAATAAATTACTATTCCTATTTTTATAAAGTATTTCTATATTTAAATATTATATTTAATATTAGAACTCATTAAATTATGAAATACAGTAAAATAAAAGTTTTTAAATAATTCGACTTAAATATTTCCAGTATTTTTGAGTATGCCGGCAGCCTAACCTAAACAATAGATTGGAAATCGCTGGGGAGCTGCGAAATTTATTTTTATAATTTAATTTTTTAATTGAAAATTTTTGAAATGAAGTTTATTATGCAAATTTCAAATTAGGTTATAATTATTATCAGAGACCTTCAGACATGGCCCTAAGCCCGGCCCCACGTTTTTAAATTTACCCGGGCCGGGACTGAAATTTTTATTTAAAAAAAAATTAGTTTGGATTCACAATATGTTTTATTAATATTGTTGAAATTATGAAACAAAAATTTGCCCAACGTACCTGGTCAGATTTTTGTTATAAAAATATAAATTATAAATATTATTAAATGTCATTGACCCAAAATTTATTAGCTTGTGATATTATCTTATACTATAAAACAATATCAAGTAACAATAAACTACCTCTTGCTGATCAAATATTATAAAATTCGATTTTTCTTGATTCAATTAATATAAAATTATTAAAAGATTTAAAGCAATATAATTATTAATTTATATTATTTATTATTAAATAGTAAAAGAAAAGAAAAGAAAAGAAAAGAAAAGAAAAGAAAAGAAAAGAAAAGAAAAGAAAAGAAAAGAAAAGAAAAGAAAAGAAAAGAAAAGAAAAGAAAAGAAAAGAAAAGAAATCGAATATAAATTAATAGAGTATATAAATAATTTTTATTCTACCTGCTGGCAGTTTGCCTAGGCATTTACAATTGAGTCAACCCCAATATAAATTCTACCCCATATCTCTATTTTAACCTTAATTGTTCTAATTTTATCCAAAATGCTTGCTTTAGAAACATTTGTTCTATGAGGGACAGATTTAACCCTGTGAACATCAATCTATGAGAAATTTCAAAGAGACATTCTAAGGGTAATCATTGACATCTATCACTTTTATTATTAGAGCTAAAAATATGTTATTCTTACTGAAAGTTTAATTTTTATTTTTACTGAACTAATCATTTTTTATTGACTGACCAATTATATCTAAATACTGGTATATTACTTATACTGATTACTGCAATGAAAATAAATATGATAAAAAAATACTGAGAATTTTCTAAAAATAAAAGGTTTTAGTTATTCGCCAAAATAAAATAATTTATATTTTAAAATGTACAAGATCGGTGATTGATATATGATTAAATTTATTAAGCATTTTGATTCCATTGTCAAACTAACTCGGGGGGGGGGGGGGATAAGGGTAACTGACAACCACTTTTCTCAGAGGCTTTACCTAAGTTTATTAAAACTTATTGGTTGAAATTAAACATCTAAATAATATAAAATATTTTTTTTGTTATTGAAAATTATTGTATATCTAGAGGATATTATATATATAATAAGTTGACAAATCTCCAAAATGACTTTTTTGATAACAATTTTATTTTGCCTAACAAAAACTTGACGACAATTTTGTTTTATTAATATCAAAATTTGCTAAATCACAGTTCCAAAAAATTACATAATTTTTAAGATACCAAATATAGTTTCACTTTATTATTCTATTACTATACGACTTGAGATTGCGATTTTTTTAGAATAATAATTAAAAAAATCAAAGACTTGCAGAGATCAAAATTATAGCCCTAGCCCGGATTTGATTTTGTTAAAAAATTTTAGTCCACTCCAGGATTTATAAAAATTTCCATTTTCAGCTCATCCTAGGATATTTCTGGAAATATTTTAGCACGACCCGGATTTTTATTTTTTATCATTTTTCAACCCGACTCGGAATTTTATTCCTGTTAATTTGAATAATTGAAATCTTACTTAAAATTACAATCTTCTCTAACTATTAAATTTTATTTTTAACTCAGTGGAATGGGTAATGATATATAGCATTGGCCGTCATTTAGCAATTTGCCAAATAATCACAAAATTTTATTAAAATGCTAAAAACCCACTTATTTTTTAAAATATATTAACAGATCTACGTGGTTGTCTCCAATATTCTATATATCATCCCCCATAGCAAACTGGTTCTTGCTGCCCAGAACATCTGATTAGTGAAACAATGATCAACTAGGCTACAGACTATACTCGAAAACCAAGTTTTTTTATATATTATATTTTAATCAGTTAAATAATTAATAAGTTCAATGATGTGCATCATCATCCATAATTTATGTAACACCAAAAGCCCCCCCCCCCCACCTCCGAAAATTTTGGATATTTTTATTAGATATACATTTATATATTATCATATCTATAAATCAGAGACCTGCAGATGTACCATTTACACGGCCAGGCCCGGATTTTTTTTTCAAAAATTTTTTACGGCCCGGCCCGGGTTTAAAAATTTTAGGCCCTGCCCGGATATTAAAAAAAAATTTTTTGGCCCTGCTCGGAATTTTTTAAAATTATATTCGACCTGGTATATACAAAAATTTCACCTATTTGGTATTTTATTATATTTTTCGGCGAGTATTTTCATTTAATAAGCAAGCATATTTTATTTTTTATTTAGTATATTACAAATTGATACTTTAAAAAATTTGTGTAAATAATATTTTGAGAATATATTAATTGTATTTATAAAAAAAATAAAACTGATATTTTAATTAATAAAAAATATTAATATATAATAATGTGTTTAATCCTTTGCGTATTTATTCCAAAAACTATAATTATATTATGTAATAGATACAATAGATACTATAGCTAGTGTTAACTTACATCCAACATTATATTAATCATAACTATATGTAATCATTATAACCATATCTAATTGACGAATATAATATAATTCATGTTGTATGAATTTTTTTAAAAAATTATACGGCCCGGCTCGGGTATTTAAAAAAAAATTTCAGGTCCGGCCCGGCCTGGGTATATTTTAAAAATTTAAAATACTGTCCGGCTCTGGTACCCGTGCCCGATAAATTTAATTTTTATTTTAAAAAAAATTTTAACTTGTCAAATTGCCGGGCCTGCAGGTCTCTGCTATAAATCATATGTTTATTTTTTTACTTTGGTTTCTCGATGAATATACCCTTATTTTCAACTTCTTTGATTTCACTCGAACTTCCTAAATAAAACGAGATTTGAAACGTTCCCTCTCAGGCAACAAATTTTATTTTTTAAAATTGATTTAAAGTGTAAAAATAAATTTAAGTATAATTTCTTTGTATGTAAAATGATATTTGATTTTTATTTTTTAGTATCAGACGATAATTTCTAAGATAATGAATATTTTATGAATTTTTTTAAAAAATAATCAAAGAAATAAGAAGAAATAATAATCTTTTTTGTCTAAAATTATTTTGCAGAACAAAAAATAAAACAAAAAATTTTATTTTTAATTTAATTTATGAATTTTTTTTTATCCTACTTTATACATTTTGTAAGTACATACACTATATAATTAAAATTATAATATTATATTATAAAACTATATAAAATCTTAATATTTTAGAAACAAAAAAGGATGTCCAATTATTAAATTAATCTTTTTTAGATAATTTTTTGTCCTTCAAAAAACTTTTGCGGAAGAATTTTTAATAGTTCCACAAAAAATAATAGATTTATTTCATAAAAAGGGGTTAAAAATATAATCCAATATAAAAATTACAACTTAATTAAATTTTTAAATTTAGAAAATAAAATAAAATTTTTTAATAAAGTTTTAAAATTTGCTTTGCTAAATTATATTTATTTTATTAGGAGGCTGGACATATCGGGTGAAGGGGCACCTAAGTCTAACTAAATTTATTAAGAAGCTAAACATTTTAACATATGATAGATAATTATAATAAATATCTATCGATAAAAATGATTTTCCTTACGGTCATTCCATTTAAACTTTATACTATAAAAAATTAATTATTTTATAATTTTTTCACCTAAATTTTTAATAATTATCTTATCAAAGCTTAATTAATCACACAAGGTTAACTATTAGTATTTTGTTTTTTATCATCTTTTGTCATGACATGATGACCTGGGGAACATCAAAACGAGGCATTTAGGACCATTTATATCAATAAAATATGCAATATTTTATTATAACTTGTTAAAAAATCAGATTTTAAAAAATAATCAAAGATATTAGGTAAAACAAATAAATCAGCTTCCTTTTGAGATATAATATTTTTCTTTAATATCTACAGGTTTTAACAATTTTTTTTACAAAATCCGCTTGTTGTACCCCGGTTTCCTCAAGTTATATATGATAATGTACATGTAAATATCCCAATATGTTTGAAAAACACGTATTTATTTCTTTCTTTTTAATAAACAAAAACTTTAAAGAAATGAAAAAATTACGAAAACGATATTTGAAAATTATGGTATGAATATTTTTTTTAAATAAAATTATGTAAATTGTGGTGATGATGACACTCATTTTCTTTTGTTATATACGACGATATTTATATAGCCGTTAGATTTTAATAATTTTTTGCATAACAAAAAATTTATATATATAATTTTTTTTAAAGTGTCAAAGTCCACAAACTTTAAATAAATTATATTTAAAAATTATATGATGTGGGAAAAAAAATGCAATTTTATTTATTTATTCGTTAGTTTGGGTCTATAAAGCCCCAAGACTTTTAGATGCCTGACACCACTGCCGCTAACACCTCCTCTTAGTGTGACAACGGTATCTCATTAACGACTAGCAACCTATCGACCTTACAACAATTGAATTCTATAAAAAAAATAGAGTTTAAAATCTGGACTAAAAGAGTTCAGATTTTTAATTTTGTTGAAAATGTGGTTCCTAATCCGAAAATGTGGATCCTAATCCTAAATAGGGTTAGAAGAGGTTCTGATGCTGGTGCTTAAATATGACTGAGTAATTAAACCATCCTTTGTTAGAACCAGGTTGAGTTTCTATAAATTTTTAGGAAAGGTAGGGGGGTTGGATTTGGTTCCAAGATTTGTAACAGTTTTGAAGGTTCCAGTTCCAAACTTTGAAAAAGGTTTTACAATTTAATTTATAGAGAATATTTGGTAATCGGACAGAAATGTACCAGACAAACATAACCCGGGCATAATATACCGAACAAAAATGCCCCTTGATAAGTTAAATTGATGGGGGAATTTCTAAAAAATTTTAATGTGAGATTTAAAAGGTAAATGTTGGGAAAGATAATAATAGACTAATAAAAACAAGAAGTTGGCTTGGGTTGGTCAATGTAAGATGGAATTAATTATTTTTTAATGATTTTCCCGAACCTATGTAGGCTAATAGCTTTACCAGCTAGAAGAGTTCCATTTTTGATGCGTCGAATCGTTGAAGCAGTTGGACAGACCTTTAGACGAAGGCGTTATCAAAAAGGTGGGTCCAACAACAACTCCAATCAATTGGGCTACGTCAACGATTAATATCTTAAAGAAATCCGCGCCGTGCGGATATGCAAAGATTTTCGTTTAACAATCAACAAATATTTAGCGATGGATAACGATTTACTACCAACTTTTGTCGACCTGATAAATAGGATCGTGAGTGGTAAAATATTTTCGACGATAGATTTAAGAGATGCAATACAATTCGGAGTTAGTCCAGAATGTAGGAACCTTTAGTAATTTCGACTCATGTTGGTTGTTACCAATATCTAAGAATCCCTTTTGGGTTGACTAGCGTTCCGATGATATTTCAACGCTTTATGCAAAATCTATTATGGGTAATTCCTATGGTTATGTGATTTTAGTCGACCTAATAATAGCGGGTGAGTATAATTTTGATCAGAAAAGTCAGTTACTTATTTGGGTAATGTTATTAACGAATTCGGAATTCACCCTACAGAAGATAAGATTAGTGCCATAAAAATTGTAAAACACCTTCAAATGTTAAAGAATTACGTTCGCTTATTGGGATTACCATGAGTCATTTATACAAAATTTACATTCTATTTGTGCGCTTTTACACAGACTAGCGAGTAGAAATGTTAGTTGGTTTTGATCAACTTAAGAAAATGAAACATTTAATAAAGTTAAAAATATATTATCAAAAGAGTATACAATAATTCCTTATTCAGCCTATATTTCTATCGTAATTTCGTGTGACGCTTCCGATTCTTAAGAACACGTAAAAAAAAGTGAAGAAAAAAAAAATCTAACATTGATTAAATCTATTGTGGGATGAATAATTTTATATTTTTATATAAAATAAATAGATGGCGTTAAAGAATTGAATGTAAATTGTTGTTTATATTTATTATCAAAAGCATTGATTAATAGTTTATTAAAATATAAAGTTTAATATATTCTATAACTGTCAAATATGTCTGTAAAAGTGGCATTTTTTTAAATATTTTGTAACCAATTCTATGTAATTGAGGATTATCAACTATATGTCTACTTACTTTTTATAAAGAAATTTTTATTACTTGTTTGGACGTTGGAAATATTTTAAAGAGGCATCGTAATTAAATTTAAAAAATAATATAGTTGTATAGTAATTTTGAACTCGGCTTATTACAATATTAGATTTGTTAATTTTCAATTAATAAATGATTATATTTATTTAATTATGGTTATAAAATAATTTATATAATAAATATCAATTAAGTGTCAACTGTTAATGCTAAATTTGTATATGTTGTTATTCCATTTTTAACACAGAATTTGATTGCAAGCTGACATAGTGAAAATATAATTTGTATGTACTAATCTAGTCTTAATTAGAATAGCTGTCATTTAATTAAAATTAAGATAAATTTATTAATTTTTAATTAATAAAATCAAATACATATATATAATGTTCAGGTGGCTATCAAAAAAACCTATTTTTAGTTCAAGGGGATATTCAGGAGCCTTTAAAATAAAATTTTTGCATCAGGAGGCTATTTAAATTTTTTGCGCCTCCTTCTAATGAGGCTATTAGTTTTGAAGACGCTCAGGACGACGTTAGATCAGTGGAAACTATCTACGAGAGAAAGGACTGAAAACGCATTATGGAACAAAAATATTATAAAGATAAGAGTGAATCAAAAGGTTTGGGTAGAAAACGAAAGTACTACGGGATGGCATGAAGGACATTGGTTCAACAAAAAAGTGCGATATTGTATGATGTTTAGTCTGAGGGTATTGTAAAAATATGCATTCCTATTGAGGGATGCTCATGTACAAGCTAAGGAAATACCCATAAAAATGACTGAAAATTTGGATAATACAGAACATAATGAAAATAATCTCTTAAAAAAAGAGTTTCGAAACCCCCACTAAGTTATCATGACGAATTCAATTTAAGTGGGGAGAACTGTAATATATTATCTTTAAATAAATTATAATTTGTTATTTTTGTTTAAGGATACAATTTATCATAATTGATTTATTATCGCAAATATACTTTCTATGAAATATTTACATAGTATGTAATAGAAGTAACTTTTTATATTTTCTCAATTTTCACACGTAGCCAATATTTTATTATAGGGGGGGGGACTTTTAGGTGGGGTTTTTCTCAAAAAAAATTAGAGGTCTTTAGGTCCACTTATTATAGGTTTTTGGACATGTTAGAATTTTGTTAAAATCTTTGGGTTTCATCCTTTTTTATTTACAAAATTGTCTTTTTCCAAAAATTCTGAATTGAGTCGTTATTTTACGAAGGTATTCATTCATTTTTTTTCAAACTATTGTTTATAGTGATATATTATACACTTTAATTAATATATTTTATTTATTTACTAATAGAGTAATAATATTTTACTATCTAATGATAACTATATGCTTATTTTAATAGAAACGCTTAGTATAAAGTCAGAAATGATTATGAAATAAGTTATAATTTCCACAATTATTGGAAAAAAAGTATAATATTAGTAAATCACAATTATATAAAGTCATTAATTTTTGCTGTCTTTTTTTGATTGAGATCTAAGTTCCCTTATAGGGTCAACGTTATAATTTGGAGCAAAATAGTCTAAGACTATCCTATCCATAAGATGTTAAATTAGGGAGTTTCGTTGATTAAGAATATAAAGCTGAGAGAGTTGCATTATATTATGTTTAAGTCTAACCATTGCCGTAAGTAGAATCCTTTGTTGGGATCCTCGGTTTTAGCAGAGATCCGTTCTCCTTAAAGAAGGTCAAGGCATGAGAGCCGAACGATGTTAGACTCGTGGCAATTAGTGGTAGGAATGTGTAGTTGGCAGGAAGCGATGACAAA